GGAAGGTTCCCGATCTTTCTCTCCTTGGAGGCCCCCTCCCCTTAATTCCGGCCATCACCACCATCCGCATCGTCACCGTCACCACCATCATCATCATTGACCATCACCTCCAATTTCGATCTCCATCTCTAGTAGCTGTAGGTTTCTTCATCCATTTCGTTCCATCATCGAAAATCCATCTCCAAATCTGCTTGTCTTTGCCCCGTAGTAGCTGTAGGCCACAGATCTGGGGGTTTTTGAGGAGTGGAGAAAAGAGAGAATTTCTCTCTCTGGCGGAAGAGAAAGAAGTAGGGGAAGAAAGTTGGGTAGGGTTAATGAGATATTATTATTTATATTGCCAAATTGTTGGCAAAATTACAAAAATTGTCACTGTTTTAGGAAAAAAATCATTAAAAATATTCTAAAATTGAAAAAAAAAATTTTTTGGACTAGCAGTAAATTCAGTAATTTGGAGGCCCATACAGTAAATATGGTAATGACCTCCAATATCAATCCGGTACCACAGTTCTAAATTGTATTGTCATATTACCATTTAGACCATTTAGACCTATCATCTAGTAATTTCACGTACCGTTTCCGCTGGTAATGGGACGGTATAATGGTAATTGTGGCATTTATGGTATAGTGCCCAACCCTAGTCTATACAATAGTTTAAGGATCAAATCAGATATTTTTTTAGTTTAAGGACTAAATCATAACTCCATACAATAGTTCAAAGACCAAATAAAAGTTTTAACCAAACGTTTTTATGTAGGAAAAGGAACAAGACAGGCCTTATTCTTATTGCCTAAAGAATCGCGGGCCAGCCGCCTACGGAGACTGATCTTGGGTCGAACTGGAACGTAGCATTTGGGGTTCAAGTTGAAACTCAGTTGGATCAACTCCATAAAATTTGTTCATCTATACGACCCAACTCTCAGGCCTTGCTAGACAAATATATCCTTCCACCTGCTCTCGCATCCTACCATTTCTTATCAAGAACAAAGTTTATAATTGTTCGTGAATCTAAATAATACAATGGTAAATTTTTTTAGTAGAAATAAAAGATTTTATGTTCAAATTGTATAAATTATAGATGAGATAAGTTTAGAGATAAAAATGATATGCTTTTTATTATGCAGTTTAAAATAAAAAAATATATAATCCATTAATTCATTACTAAGTGCATGTTTGGTGTAGTTGGTGGGAAGTGCTTTTTAAGCCTAAAAGCTCCAACTGCATCAAACATCACAACTTGTGAAAAATATAAGTTCTTTTCACAAGCTGATCTTTTCCAACTCTAATGCAATTTTAGAAGCACAAAATTCATGCTTCTACGGGAACTTTTACTTCTCATTTTAATGAAATTTATTCATTCTCCCTATTTTATCCTCACACTTCCTTCTATTTACAAAAAAACCACTATATATAGGTTCCAATTTATAACATCACCCACTATTACCAAGCAACCCAGGCACATATGTTTCTTCCCCGTCTTCTTAACCATCTTTTTCCTCATCCGATCAGAGAAGCAAACCGAAAATCCTTGCCGTATTCTTCCCCATCTTCTTTCTCCCTAAACCGAAAATCTCTCGTCTTCAGTTCAAAGATGAACCCAAGAGCTGAGTTTGGAGATGAACCTCGTGCTTGGGTTCGCGACGAACCTCGTGCTTGGGTTTGTCACAAACCCAAAGGTTTAAAAAAAGAAAAAAAGAAAAAAAGAAAAAAAATAGTCAGAGGAAGGAGAGAATAATAACCTTTAAAATATTTATATTGATAATTATGTAATTAAATGATTTTAAGGTTATATTAATAAAAAAATTAACCATGTTATTAACTTTTATTATAGGAATATTTCATGTAATTTAAGTAAAGAAAAAAAATATAAATTTTTTATTAATTAATATGTCATATTAAAACTTAATGAGTAGTACTAAAAAGAGGTCAAAATTTTAAAATTGTAAGGATTAAAAGAAGATTTTTTTAGTACAAGAATTAAAAAAGGATTTTTTTAAAATAGTAAAGGACCAAAAAAAACATTTAACTTAAGTTTTAATTTTAATTGTCTTATTTATATTATTTAAATGTAATAATATTTTATTTTTTAATATTAAAATATAAATATTTATTTAACATTTATGTTTTAAAAT